TCAAAGGTTGCCCAACCTCTCTGCCGACTCCTACAAAAAGATGTGACGTTTGATTTTAATGAGGAATGCACGACATCATTCAATCAACTCAAGGAGTTGTTGACGGCACCAATCATTGTTCCACCGGATTGGAGCCTACCGTTCGAGCTTATGTGTGATGCGTTCGATTACGCTTTAGGAGCTGTTTTGGGCCAAAGGAAGGACAAGAGGCCGCATGTCATCTACTATGCCTCACGGACGTTGAATGATGCCCAATTGAACTATTCCACTACGAAAAAAGAACTTCTTGCCGTTGTTTTTGCTTTAGATAAGTTTAGATCATATCTAATTGGTACTAAAGTAATTGTTTTCATTGATCATGCAGCTTTGAAGTACTTGCTCACCAAAAAGGAAGCCAAGCCACGACTAATTCGTTGGACGTTGTTACTTCAAGAGTTCGATATTGAGATTCGTGACAAGAAGGGAAGTGAAAACGTGGTGGCTGACCACCTAAGCCGAATGGTGCATAATGAGGAGTCCCTACCTATTGCCGAGACATTCCCCGATGAATAATTGTTGTCCATTAAGGTAAGCGCGCCTTGGTATGCCGACTCGGTGAATTTTTTGGGATGATCCATACTTGTGGAAATATTGTTCGAATCAGATTGTACGTAAGTGTGTGCATGATATGGAGTTTAATTCAATTTTAACTTTCTGTCACACTTATGCATGTGGGGGACACTTTGGGACACAACGCACTGCCCTTAAGGTTTTAGAATGTGGTTTTTATTGGCCAACTCTATTTAAAGATGCTAGAACCTTTTGCATGTCTTGTGATCGTTGCCAACGAATGGGTAATATAAGGGCAAAGGATCAAATGCCGCAAAATGTCATACTTCCTGTTGAAATTTTTGATGTTTGGGGCATCGATTTTATGGGTCCTTTTCCTTCATTGCATGGTTTCCTTTACATATTACTCGTTGTGGATTATGTCTCGAAATTGGTGGAAGCAAAAGCCACCCGTACTAACGATTCTAAGGTGGTTGCAGATTTCGTGAAAACTAACATTTTTGCTAGGTTTGGGATGCCTCGAGTTCTAATTAGTGATGGAGGTTCCCATTTTTGTAACCGCACCATTGAGGCGTTGTTGAGGAAGTACAATGTCACCCATAAGGTTTCTACACCTTACCATCCTTAAACAAATGGCCAAGCCGAGGTTTCTAACCGAGAGATCAAGCGAATCCTAGAGAAGACCGTGGGTCCAACAAGAAAGGATTGGAGCATGCGCTTGGACGATGCACTGTGGGCTTATCGAACGGCCTATAAAACTCCTATTGGCATGTCACCTTTTCGGCTTATCTATGGTAAGCCATGCCATCTGCCTGTGGAGCTTGAGCACAAGGCATTTTGGGCAGTCAAGACCTTTAACATGGATATTGATGCCACTGGAGTACATAGGAAGCTCCAATTAAATGAGCTTGACGAGATTAGATATGAAGCATATGAGAATGCTCGGCTTTACAAGGAGAAGACCAAGGCTTTTCATGACAAGATGATTCATGGCAAATCATTCTCAATCGGGCAGAAAGTGTTACTCTTTAATTCCCGCCTTCGGTTGTTTCCTGGTAAGTTACGTTCCAAGTGGGTTGGTCCGTTTGTTATTACTAATGTTTTTGCGCATGGTGCAGTCCAAATCCAAAGCATGAAAACTGGACAAGAATTCAAGGTGAATGGGCACCGATTGAAGCCATACTATGACAACTTTGTGGAGCATGCCGTGGATGACATCCCCTTGCATGCCGTGGACTCCAATAGGGAGTGAATTGGTGCTTCGTCCGGCTGCACGACGTTAAAGCAAGCGTTACTTGGGAGGCAACTCATGCATGCAACAAAGGAAGACCAAGGAATCACTCCAATTCCAGATTTGCGTTCCTAAACCTTTCTCTTTGTTGTTTATTTTGTGTCTGCCATGTTTATTATGTTAGTTGCTGTTTGTTTGTTTACTTGTTATTTGTGTTAGTTTATGCTTGAAACATTGAGGACAATGTTTGATTTAAGTGTGGGGGGGGGGTGGTAACCAAAGTGTTTTGATGCAAATTCGTAGGGTTGTATCACCCATAATTTCCAATGTTGTTCCTTGCTGTTTTTAGGCTGTTTTGATGCATTTTAGTGTGCTTTACATAAAATTCCAAAAATCCCAGAAAAAATTTGAAAAAATGTTTTGAAACAACCAAAAAGAGTCATTTTAAAGTTGTTTTATGTGTTTGTTTGTGTCTTAGGGTACTTCCAACACAATGATGATGATTCGGTTTTAATTGCATGATTGTTAAAGAGAGTTATAAACATGGATGGAAGGTTGATTTACTCTTTGGTTTATGCTTGGTTGTGGTTATAACTTATGAATTCACATGTAATCACAAAGGAAAAAAAATTATTTTTTGTAACATGCTTGAAGGAAGGAACTCAAACTAACGCTACAACCTTGTGAGACTTGAGCCTAAACGTTTATTTGGAGAGTTAATAATCTGTGCATTGTTGTTTTCTAAAGTCGTTGCATGATCTCATTATTCTTTGCTTGGTTACTACTTAGAAGGTGTTTCATCATTTAGTTCCAAACACTAGAACTCATGCCCATTTCATTTAAAGCATGCTATTGATTTGCATAACACATATTCAAGATGAAGTTGTGTAGTGACCACCATTTAAGCCAAATTGCCGTGTCCCCCATGTTCATATGTTTTGTAGGTTTTAACCCCGTTGAGCCTTGTTTAGCCTATATTGTTTGTTAACCCACATTATCCTCACCTAGCCTAGATTAGTACCATCCATACCCTTGTTCTTGAAGCATAGTAAAGCATGACTCAAGATGAATTCCTTTTGATCAATATATTGTTGAAAACAAGTGTGGGGGAAGGGATGTATGTGAGTGCCAAAGTCTTTAATAAGGCACGGGTAGAAAGAAAAAAAAAATAAAAAAATTCGTGACGAAAAGAAGGAAAAAAAGAAAAGTTGTGAAAAATATGAAAAAGAGTTGAAAAAGATGTGAAAATGAGCTCTTAAGTGTTGATTGTTGAAGAAAGGGTCCAAAACATTGAATTCGACCCTAAGTATTGCATGAATATTCCCTTGTGTTTAAAAGTTGATTTCTGCGCTCTAAAGTGAATTCTAAGTTTCGATTTCATTGCTTTGCTTGCTATTTCTTAAAGAACCTTTGTTATCCCTATCCGTTCTTTGTTAGCCAATACCCCAAGCCCCGTTACAATCCTTGACTTTAATCTTGAGTGTTGTGTGTTTCAATTGGTGGAGTTTAGAATTGGTATGAGCATATGGTGTCACTGGTTCTCGCATCTAAGTAGTAGCATTCCATTCATGAGATCATATCTAAATGCTTATTAACTCCAGAAAATGCTTCCTTTGTTATATATATATGTGAGCGTTCGTTTTTATGTCTACATCAATCTTCTCACATATAACTAGTATAGGGTGTGTAGTTAGAAAATCTGAGTGAAAATTAAGTGCATATCTTGTAAGGAATTGAGAAAATTCTCTAAGGCATGTTACCACATTCAAAACATCGTTTTAATTGGTTAAATGTGAACTAGTAAGTAGTGACTATGATTAAGTATGTGCTTAAGTGTGAAGATGACTAAAATCTGTGGGAATGATGATGTTTAATATGTCATGTGCATTGGAAATCCCTGAGGTAAACGTTGGAAGGTTTAGGTTTGGTTGTTTGTTTGTTTTGTTTCGTTGTGTTTTTCTTGATTCTTTGTTTTGCTCGAGGACTAGCAAAAGCTAAGTGTGGGGGAATTTGATAGGAGCATATTTATGCGCCTTAGTTAGCTAGTTCTTATGCATTTTCGTTATGTTTTCTTAGTTAAAGTAGTCTTTTAAGCTATTTCCATGTGTTTTCAGGTTTTAAGGGCATATTATACAAAAAGATGCAAATTGGAACTTTTTGGAGCAAAAGTGAGCTTGGATTGAATAGCACATGCTTGGAACAAAAGGTTTGGACGAAATTGAAGATTTGAAGATTTGAGGATTCCTAGTCCAAGAAGGAGTCCTAATTGAAGAAGGATTCCTAATCAACGAAGGAGTCCGAATTGAAGAAGGATTCCTAATCAACGAGGGATTCCTAGTTGAAGATGGATTCCTAGAAGAATGAAGATTCCTACTCAAACAAGATTTCCTACTTGAAGTAGGAAAGTTAAGCCTAAAAGTTGCTATTTTGGGTTGATCTTTCCTAAACCTAAATGGCCTTAAGTTTCAGCGACATTAGAAGGTTCTTAAGTGTGACAGAAAGTTAAAATTGAATTAAACTCCATATCATGCACACACTTACGTACAATCTGATTCGAACAATATTTCCACAAGTATGGATCATCCCAAACATAAAATTTAGCATCCTTTTTCAATTTATCACGTTGGTTCCTTTTTCAATTTATCACGTTGTATCTCTATTATGCGCTTTCATGTAGGGAGCTTTTGAGGAATAATTTGATTACGATGCGCTTTTTCCATCTAATTCATTGACTTAAGGGAAATTTGAAAGTTAATTTAAGCGTATCTAATTAACTTGGGGTGTTGGGAATTCATGGGTTATTGAAAAGCAATTGGAAATCGTTTTGTATGCAAGTGTGACATGTGTGGAGAAGAACCCCTTAGCTAGCTTTCCATCCATTCACTTTAGCCAAATTCGTTTTACAATCTGTTCAAGTGACAAAGTTTCTGTTTTGTTTTTAAATTCGTCTAAAATCAATCCCCCTTTATTTTGTTGAGTCATCTTAGTTAGAAATCAATTTAGTTTGTGTTTTTAAGTGTCTTGATTCAAGTTATAACCTATTTTGTCCAAATTGTGTTTTGTGTTCAAAACTGTCCAGATTGTGTTTTTAAGGCAGTTTGGAGTGTTTCTGGGCTGTTTTGAGTATTTTGGTTTGTTTTAGTGTTTTAGGGGGTGTTTGTTTGGGCTCACTATGTTTCATTGGACTGGACATTAGTGTAGTCCCATGTTTGGTAGGCAGAGGGACTAAGTTTAATGAGATTAGCCCTCACTCGCTCCGACTATTTCCTTCGCTCGGAGTTCTTAGCGAGGACGCCCAAATACCACTGGATTGCTAAGCCCGTCGTCGAGAAAGAATCGTCGTTCGTCCTCGTCTGCTCGCTCATCTTCCTGCTCTGGCATCCTCGTACTGCTCGCCCTCATCTCCTGCTCTGGCATCCTCGTACTGCTCGCCCTCATCTCCTGCTCGTCATCATCTACTCTTGGTCTGGTAAATTTCAAATCTTACGATTTATTTCTTCGATTTTGTTCTAAATCGTTAAATTATTACTGGGTTTTCATCGATTCGTTATTTTGGGTTTGAAAACTCTGAAAATTTGGAATTTTTACATCAAAGATTGTCAGTTTTGTAGATAATATTAGTTTTCTTGAATTTTGTGGTTTTGGGTGTTTTTGATTTGGGTTGAATTTCATAAATTAGTAGTGGCTAATTGGTCCGAGGCTAGTGGGTTATTAGCATCGTTCAAATTGTTTGTCTAATTTGCAATGACTCTGCAATACTTTGCAATGGCAGTAGCCTGGTGCACAGGGCTGCACATTTGTTCATATTAATATCAATAATTAGGTGTTATATGAGGAAAGTAAAATGATAATTATGGTGCAAATTTTGATTAGAAAATTAGTATTAAGGACAAAGAATTGTGTACCTCAGCATGTGGTGCTCTTGTCTATTCCTATCACGTCCACAATTTGATGTATATGCAAGGCTTTTGATTAGAAAACTAGTATTACAGACAAAGAATTGAGATGCAGATGCAGAGCTTTGGAGTTTGGGTGTTGTTTTTGGTAAATTATTAATAAATAAAATTTGAAAACTTGGAGCCAAATTCATTAATTGTTTATCTATGTATCTACTTTGCAATGACTCTGCAATGGCTGCCATGGCAGTAGCCTGGTGCATTGGGCTCAGTTGTTTGTTTTGGTCTGCTATACTTTCCCATTCATATCCATCCAATTCTATTTCAATTGCTTTTTACAATTGTTCATTTAATCTCACTTATGTAAATAAATGCAGAAAATTGTTGTTGTTTGATTCCTTGTGCTGAAATACTTCAGTTTTATTTGCAGTTCTTGGTTTTCTTGCATGATATTTGTCTGGGAAGATCAAAGTGTTTGATCACAGAGGCTATTCTGCAAAGCTCTGTATTGTATTTCTTCCATCACTATGTGCTGCTGTCGTGGGAATCTCTCGTGTGATGATTACTGAATCATTGGCAGGACGTCTTCGGCGGAGGTCTTATAGGAATTGTCACATCTTCAATTTGTTACTAGTAGTCCTTACCTCTCCTAAACCAGCTGGATGGGTGGGCACCTCAAGTGTATTTCCCCATGTTGGGTGCATAGAGGAATGTTGGCGTGTCCTCATCTTCGGCCACGAGGTTAAGCTCTCTTTGTATTTGATATGCGAAGAACAGATATTGAGAGTCCAGACTCGAGTGCACCAGTCCACTAGTTACTGGAAGAAGGGAGAAGCTCTTGAGTTGAGTTTGTATGCCGAATAGAAATCATATAGAATGTATATATACATTTTGTATACACAACGTTGTACTTCATTCGATGACTCCATATCATGTGTAGCTCCTAACATCATTATTTATTAAATGAAAATTTTATAATTTTATATAATAAAAAATGTATGATTTTTGTTCTCAATTGCTTTGTTGGTCATTTGGGTGATGAATGTGATGATTTTTCGTTATCCTGCTTTTTAGTCCGAGACTGCACCAAACGCTTCACTAAGTTAGTCCATATTAGTCTAATCTAAGCCAGTCCAGCTTAGTCCTTGAAGCTAGTCCAGTCCGAGATAGTCCGGTGCAACAAACGCACCCTTAGAGTTTAGTTTTGCATTCTTTGAGTCTAGTTTAGTGTTTTAAACTTTGTTTTTACGTTTTGAGTCAGTTTTCAAGTGATTGAGCAATCCCTCATAATCCCCGGCCTAGAACGATCCCTACTTACATACTTTGCTACAATTGATAAAAAGAAGGTTTAATTTGTGTGCTTATATAATCCGCATCAGTGATGAAATCTAAATCATCAATGGAAAAATATTACAAATCGTGTGAACACATTGATGACAATAAAGTGCTATTATTTGTGTGTTTACATGATTTTTTTAGCTTTTTGGTTTAGTTTTGATTGATGGATGACGAAACCAATTGCATGTGCGACTCAATTTTGTTTGTTTTAAAATATACGATGCCGTGTGGCTCTTTGTGCAGATGTTTGTCTATTTGTTTTTTACAAAGTTCTTTTCTTTGCGTGGGTCTGTTTGGCCTCACTTTGTAGCTGCATCCATTTACTTTCTTTTGTTGCCTAGTTTATGTTGTCTCCTTGTTACTGGTTTCCCTTTGAATACTGATCAAAGAAGATAAATCAATCTATGCCTTGGTATTTAAAAAAAATTGTATTAATATCTGTATCAATTTGTGATTTTTTATTTATCAAAGTGGTCAAAAAGTGAGATCTTTTTTTTTTATGCCTCCATTAAATTTGTTTTGAAAAAGAACAAATTTGTGTTTTTCTTCGTGTGTTTGTGGACGAAGTTAATTTGTTTTATGAGAGGACAAATTAGTCTTCTTCTCTGAGTGTTTGTGTAGAAAGCTAAATGGTAAGCATTATTTCTTTGGGGATGGTTTGTAGTTTTGCAATGTTTGTTGGGGGTTATTACTCGGGTGATCACATTTAGTGTGCTTGAGTTTTGGGTTTAGGGGAATTGTGATTGAGTTTGTTACCAAAATTCAAGCTTATTGATCAACATAAATTTGGCTTTTCTCTGACTTCGTTAGTATTTATTGAAAAAAAAATCGATATTTGCTATTTTTTTATTGTGTTTTGACAGGGATTTATCTTGTTGATACACAAAATCAGTGAGAACTTTGGTATAATAGAAAATGTCAAGTTTGTGACCTTCGCTAGATTGCTCCGGTCACTAGTGTGGATAAGTATGCAAATGGATAGAGAAAGGGAAGCAAACACAAGATGTACGTGGTTCACCCAAATTGGCTACGTCCACGGAGTAGAGGAGTTCTCATTAATTGTGAAGGGTTTACACAAGTACATAGGTTCAAGCTCTCCTTTAGTGAGTACTAGTGAATGATTTAGTACAAATGACATTAGGAAATATTGTGGAAGAATGATCTCCTTTTATAGAAGAGAGTTTCTAGCTTTGTTCTTACATTGACATGTGTCGTGTTGTGATTGGCTACTGATGTTGACACGTGTCGCACTATGATTGGCTTCTGATGTCGACACGTGTTGTACTGTGATTGGCCTCTTGGTTGGAGGGAAACTCTTTTGGGTCCTTGACGGTATAACGTTAACCGGTGCTCAGTAGTTTCGGGATTGGTCAAGTATGGTACAAATAGTGCTCCTCTAAGTTCCCGAATGAGGGAAGCTCCTCAGTTAGGGACTTGCAAGATCCAAGCCGCTGAGTAATCACGAAACTTCTAAGTACCGAAGTGTGGTATCGTCTTCACTTGCCTTATCTGTCTCATAGGTAGATGTGGCATCTTCTCTGGAAGTACTCTTCCTCCATCTAACGGTGGTATCTTTAACCGGTGGAGATACACAAGGTAATGTATCAATTTCACTTGAAGCTTACTTGTAGTTTCAGGCTTGGTCAAGTGCGATACAAACCATGTAGTAGGAGTCCCCAAGTCGCTGAGTTAGGAGATTTGCCGAAAGAGGTGACAGACAAGGTAAACAATCAGAGCTCCTAGCAATCAGTCCCAAATCAGAAGTTTGATTTCGAGTTCCAGCTGATTGTTCTCATTCTCCCTATCTTGCAGGCAGCAAGAAGGATAAAGAGAAGAAAAAAGAAAATAGATGATATAAGATACTTTTGCTTTTGAAGAAATAACTTTCCACATGCTTATTCTTAAACTGGGCTGGAGGGTTTTCTGGTTTCTTCCAGAGTATAAGGCCGACTCAAGAATTTGAGAGTCAAAACAAGTCCATCAAATCAAGAGTGCATTCGACCTTGATGATATGGGATACTTTTGTTGTTGACAAAGTAATAGACGAATCGGCACGTGTTATGTTGCGCTTGTCTCCACATGCTTCCTTGTATCCTTCTCACTTTCCCTATCTGTTTCTCAGGCAGATGTGATATCTTTTCTGGAAGCATAAGATGTTGAAGATGAGTACTCGAGAGCAATGCCAGGTAAGTAATCAGGTAAGGAGCTCCAGGTAGTCAGTTCCTGACTGGAAGCTTGATTCCAAGTGTTGACTGATTGCTCTCTTTCTCCATGTCTTGCAGGTAAGAACAAGGCCAAAGGACAAGACAGGGAAAAAGCATGATATGGGATACTCTTGCTTTTAACCCTGATGATATGAGATACTCTGGCTCTGGTGTGGCTTGTTTGCAGAGGTATTATTGGAGGGAAAATAAGCTGAGTATTTCGAGAAACTCTGCTGAGAGTGCCCTCTCGGATGTGAAGAAAAGTTGAGCATTTTTTTTTATTTGCAGGTTTGCCTGGTTGTGGAAGATGAAGGTCGATATATATAGGAATTGTCCTAATAGCGAGTAGTAACGCTGTTCCTTTACCCTTCTCGGTCATAGCAATGTAGTGGGAGCTGCAAGATTCACGTGTTTTAACTTTGTCAGAGCACTTTGAAAAAGTGGTATGTGGTATCTGGAAAGCTGATGTTGAGTGTGAAGATTGTAGATAAGCTTTATCCAAGGAAATCTAGCTCTCGAAGTTTAGAGAGCGGTGCCTCTTCGATTTTCGAACAAGCAATCCTGTCGGGGACCTGGCTCTCGAGATTCAGAGAATAGTGCCTCTTAGATTTTTGAGAAAGCAATCCTATTGAGAGTCTGGCTTTCGAGATTCGGAGAGCGGTGCCTCTTCGATTTTTGAGAAAATAATCCTTTTGGGAGTCTGGCTCTTGAGATTCGGAGAGCGGTGCCTCTTCGATTTTTGAGAAAACAATCCTGTTATGAGTCTGGCTCTCGAGAGTCAGATAGCGGTGCCTCTTCAATTTTTTGAGCAAGTAATCCTATTGGGAGTGTTTTCTCGATGTGAGTAAAGGTTGGGCATTTTTGCCAGTCTGCCTTGCCACGAAGCACGAAGGTCGACATACACAGGGATTTTCCAGTTATCAAGCAGTGGTGTTGTTCCTTTACCCTTGTGGGTAATGGTAAGGTAGCTGAACCTTTAAAATTTATGTGTCTAAACTTTGTCAGAGATCTTTGGCAAAGTTATCTGTGGTACCCGAGGAGCTGATGTTGTGTGTGGGGATTATCGACATATTTTACTCAGGAAATCAGCTTCTCGAAATTCGGAAAGTGGTGCCTTTTCGATTTTTGAACCAACGGCCCTGTTGCCATTTTTTATAGGGGCACCAATTATGTGCAAGAAGTACGTTCAGAGAGTTATTGCTTGCAGGAATTTTCCCCTTATTTTTGTACTTCAGAGATTTATTGCACCTCATTTCTCCTTCATCATTTCTGAGAATGTCTAGCCCATCTGACAGTCGTTTTGACTTGAACTTTGGTGAAGAGGCATCCATGTCTTCTTAAGACAACATATGGCGCCCATCCTTCTTATCCCCTATTGGTCATCTTACCGTTGGGGACTCTGTGATGAAGAATGATATGATCGCTGTGGTGGTGGCTAGGAATCTTCTCACTCCCAAAGATAACAAACTACTTTCCAAATAATATGATGAGTTGGCTGTTAAGGATTCTCTAGCTTTCAATGTTCAGTGTGCAGGTTCTGTGTCTAATATGGCCCAACGCCTATTTGCTTGAACTCGCCAAGTTGAATCATTGGCGGCTGAAGTGATAAGTCTCAAACAGAAGATCAGAGGGCTCAAGCAAGAGAATAAACAGTTTCACAGGCTCGCACATGACTATGCTACAAACATGAAAAGAAAGCTCGACCAGCTACAGGAATCTGATGGTCAGATTTTACTTGAGCATCAGAGGTTTGTGAGTTTGTTCCAAAGGCATTTATTGCATTCATCTTCTGGGGCTGTACCGCGTAATGAAGCTCTAAATGATCAACCTTCGGTGCCTTCTCCTTCTGGGGTTCTGCCCAGTACTGAGGCTCCGAATAATCACCATCCGGTGTCTCCTCTTTCTGGGGCTCTGCCGACTGCTGAGACTTCTCTTGAGCAACCTTTGTGAAGGCTCCCTCTTGTTTGTTTATTTTAATTCATGTATATGTACATATTTGTAACTTATCGGAGATATCAATAAACAAGTTTTGCTTCATTTCAACGTATTGTGTTAAATACACCAAAGCCTTCTTCACTAAGTTCTTTGAATTTTTTCTTTTGTTGAAGCTTGTATGTAGAAGCTTTGTGAGTGAAGCATGTATGTTGAGGTAGTGCTCCCTTAATTTCCTGAGTGAGGAAAACTTTGCGGTTGGAGACTTGAAAAATCCAAGTCACTGCGTGGTCATGAGACTTCCCAGTATCAAGGTGCAGTAGCATATGGTAGGAGTCCTCTAAGTCTCCGGTCGAGGGAGTTGACGAATAAGGCATTTTCTTTCTAAGTGGTAGCCTAAAACTTCTCCTTCATATATATTTGTTATGAAAGTTGTTAGGCCTAAAGAAGAGGAGGCCTAGGCAATTTTTTTTTTGAAATTTTCGAAATTTCAAATTTTTGAAATTTCGAATTTCCGAAAAAAAAAATATATATATATATA